CCGGCCGTGATGCCGGGAAACTCCATAACGACGGGGGGGATCAGGCCGTGACGAAGGGTGCTCTCAACAAGGCGGTCCATGGGGACATTGGGCTCGACCAGGGCGGTGCGCGCGGCTTTGTTGACCTCGAGAACATTGCCGAGGGCGCTGATATCAACGAAGCGATCTCGGCGGAAGGGACGGGTGCTGTTGGTCGAGCCGTGGAAGATGCGGTAGGGCTCCTTTCGGTCGAAGAACGACCGCACTGCAGCAGCAATTTTGGAGACAGTCTTCTTGTGGCGCTCCATGGTCGATAGTCGACAATCGGCAGGTGAGGTCGCGATGTCCGTAGAGCTACAGGGTGAGATTTTTTTTTTTTTTTACCCCAAATGCCCGCGCAGTGCCACGTTGGAGTAGGTGAGCTTGGAGTACCCGGCCAGGTAGGTAGGGAACCTGAGGTAAAATCAAGGTTCTGACAGGGGTATGTCTGTACACCAATGCACCTCCAGGGCTACCTTATATAGAGGGTGAAGTACGGATATCTTGCGAAGTAACATAGGTAGGCAACGTACTGCATAGTAAGGTAGGCCTTCGTAGCTTGTTAGCCCGGAAGAGAGCCCGGTTAAGTCAAAGCGCCCCGAAGCACAGTGGTCGCTATGCCCCTGCATACCCAGTTGAAATCGGGGAATTTGTATGAACGCAGCAGGGCAAGCTACTTATTTCCTCTACCTCTGTGTGATTCCAATTAAGCAACTATATTTCTTCATATTCGTTTCGACGCGCGGCCCTTTTCATGCGGCTCAATATCCGCTTGACCGACCTTCTTTACATATGTTTTCGTGAATAATTACATGACATGAGTGATGTAGATAGATACCTTACGTTGAACAGCCAGAAATCATAGGACCGCTTCGATACCTCAATCCCTTGCTGCTCTCGCCCCCGGTTTTGGCCGCTTACAGTTTTGGGACTGCCTCCGGTGTAGATTTCAAGCTCTCGTCTTTCTTTTGAAGGACTCTCTTTTGTATCTCCTCGTAACTAAGCGTGCTGAGCGACACGAACTCGCGAGGAACTTCCTCCAATGACTTGGCCTTGATAGTGGTTGCCTTGGACGATATGCTCTCCGGATTGCTGGTGACCGTCTTCATGAAACCAGTCCAACCCTCAAAGCAACGCTTAGCGTTGGGAATCTTGGCCAAGATCAGGGCAAAGCAGTGTGGCATTCCCTCATACTCTTCGAATACCACGGGCACGCCGTCTTCTCTTAGCTTGCGCGCCATGTACCTGTCCTCGTCCGCTAACAGCTCCCACCCCGTGCAAATGAAGACAGGCGGCGAACCTGCCCAGCTCTTGTTCATGACGAGAGTCACGAGCGGGTGCGCGATGAGATCGTCATCGGCATAAATGCTAGCGCGTGGGGGTTTTGCTGGCCAGGCTTCGCACGGCGGTGGGTTGTACTCGGCATATACGGAGGCCTTTGGCAGGTAGTCAAACTCCCAGTTGGATTCCCAGCTTGGGGAGCTTTGCGTGATATCCATCCATGGCGAGTTGAGGGCCAAACCGCTGGGCAGTGGTATTTCGCGTTCTTCCCCAAGCCATTGTATCTTCCGCTTCTGCCTGCGCAACTCCAGCAGCAGCTGCAGCAAGGCTAAGCTCAAATTACCCCCTGCACTGCCAATTTGTCAGTGCCGATGTCTTGATTTGGTTCATAATGACGACTCACCTGTCACCGGCTACAACGATGTTCTTCGGCTCAACTGCCTCATGATAGGCATCGGGTGGAGGATACAACAACGTCAAGTAAGAGACAAGAGCATCCATTAGGGCTGCAGGGAAGGGATGCTGCGGAGCCAGCCGGTAGCGGACAGAGTAAAGACGCCCGCCCGTCAGCTTGGCTATTTTTTTGGTAGCAGGTCGATGAGTCGCTGGATCGCAAAGATAGTACGCTCCTCCGTGAAGATACAAGACGGTCAGAGGGTTTGTGACCTCTCTCATCAGTTCATCGAACTTCTCTTTTTCTCCGATTGCCGGCGGTTTCGATTCGGAAGTGGCGCCAGCACGGTAGCCGGTCCATTCAGCCTCAACAGGCACAAGGTCTGGCAGTCTGAGATTGATTTCTGGCGTGCCCGGTGTTCGGAGCGATTGTATCGTGCCTACAACCGCGTCGCGGACGTCCGTCTCGGAGGAAGCAGGACTGGCATAAGTTGAAACCCATATTCTACCCTTGACGCCATTATCCCGATTTGCAAGCTTTTGGGATGAAGTGATGGATCGCGGTTTGCTGGCCATGAGATACGAGCGGAGGACAGCGACAATGAGCTCACTCCTTAAATCGAGGTATCTGGCGGGCTTCGACAGATGTAGGACGTGAAGCAGGGCCACCCGTGTTATCAGAGGCACCTTTGGCAGAAGTGAGAGCAATAACTTGAACTGCGCAGGGTCCATATCGAGTGGATTTGGGAAGCCCGATGAAGAAGAGGAAGAAGGACTGTTGAAGTTGGCAGGAGTAGACATTGTTCAAGTCGAGAGGATAGTGGTAGAGGGCTTCTAATATGAGTTGTGAGGTGAAGCAGACAGGCAATTGAACTTGAGCCAAGCCGCGTGCTATGCCTGACGTGGTTGAAACACTCCAATAATACGGTACCCTGGAAGAACAGGCTGCTACCCGTTGAGAAAGAGTCGCAACGGTCAAGGGCTCGTGGTCGACAAAAAGTTCAGATGAGAGGGGATTAACTGCGGTCCCTGGACGAAAGAGCCTGATCTGCATGCGTTGTACACCGACTGATGGTCCCGTTCGAGGAAGGTATCCAGAAGCAAGGATAGGGAGTGGAGGAGGGGGGAGGACGGAGACGAGGAAGCAGATGAGTAGAGAAGACGAGCTACTGCGTAGCAAATTTGCGTGTGGCCGGGAAGAGTAGCCGTTTACTGGGGGGAACGTCCTTGTAGACTGGGACGAACGACGATGAATGGGGATGAGAAAATGCAACGCTGGCGGATACTGACAGCCCCGCGTAACAGAGCAGAAAGGAATTGTTGAAGATGAAGGAAGACTACCTTGCGAGATGATGACTTGTAGACCTGTAGGTGCAGGGGGTGTTGATTAATGTGGTGAGAATGAGACAAATCGTGGGAGGGCTTATGACATGCTGCTTGGCAAGGAGCCTCGGTTGTTGTTGATGGGCTGAAGGCTGGGTAAGGTGCCTACCTAGATTGACGAATCGCTTGTGGCCGCCAGACGTTCGTGCAGTACGAGGTGCCTTAGATGCAGTAGTCCACTTGACCAAACGCTAGGTAGTTCCCCTGTCAAAATCCTTGCATCCTCTGTTGAAGTTTATCGGTGTGGTGGAAGACGGCACCAGGTTTGGAGATAAAACGTTCCTCATCATCGTGGCTAGTAAGTGAAGTGACATCTGCAAAAGAGGACAAGAAAGGACGATTGCAAAGCCCCGAGAGCCCGTCGGAGCAATTTGTGCCGTGGCGAACCCAGTGAGAAGTCGCCGATGAAGGAGGACGGTCCTGCGATTTGAGTGGCCAACGGGAGCGCGTTGCGGTATTCGTATTGAGCATGGTGGAAAGAGCCAGCGTCTCTCGAGACTCGAGAAGCAAGAGCTTCAAGCTTCAGGCGGAATCACGATTGAGATGGCAGATGGATCGCGGGGATGGGCCCTGCAGATGGCATGTTTCTCCCCACGACCAGATGACAAGGCACCACCATCATTGGTCGTCAGCAGGGCGCTCCGTAGCGTCCGGGACAGGGCCGCAACGTCGGTCGAAATAGGAAATGGTTGCGGATGGAGACGCTCGACACCAGACTGTTGGCTCTGCTGCGGCCTGGACCTGCCGAACCGACAAATCATCGGCTCCATTGCTTCTAGAAAGTGGGATCAACAGAAAGGTGGACATGTCAAGTGCCGTGGTGCCTTTCCTTCCTTAGAAGATATCATACGCTACAGGTAAGGTAAGGTATCAGACATTGGCACATTGGTATCTTTTCTTCATCTCAAGCCACCCTTCACCTCAGCTCATGCAACTGAGCTTTTGTTAGCTGAGCATGAGAGTGATCTGCACCCGTTGCCGAATCAAGGAGAATTTACGAAAATGCACCCTTGGCCCGTCCACTTAGAGAAATAAGAAACGCACCCAACACTGCGGCTCTGGCAATATCGCAAAGCAAAGCACAGCACAGCATAGCACAGCACAGTGACAGACATGTGGCCTAGCACCTCGTGCAACCTGCAGTTACCTACGTCGGCCCACGCCACCCAATTTCAGAATCACTTGCGAAATCGACAGATACTTGACCACACTGGGCTGAGCTATTTGCGGCTCGCCTTATTTCCCGGCAACTACCAATTGCGGGACAGCCCCTCGCCCATGCCCCCTTACACACACAACAACCCGGCCATGAAACGGTCGATCTGAACAATACGACTCTGCCAATCGCCGTTTGAGGGCTCCGAGCCTCTGTTGTGCCATGTACGAATTTGCCTATCGTGTCGCTTATTTTGAGGGCATGGACATTGCCAAACCCTCAACTCCAACTGATCCGGGCCAACATCTCAAGCTCATTATACCTGCAGGGCTGGCTCGCCTTGTCCTTCCGGGGGTTCAAGGCACGGAGTTAACCCGGCGCCCGCAAGCAGCCCTTTCGACATCACCCCCTACACGAACCTTCCCCACGAAACTCTGCTCGCTGGTGCTGGCCGCCCACAGGCTGCAACTCAATGACACTGAGCCCGCATGAAACACGTCAAGCGCCGCTCCCTTCCGACTCGCCGCCGGCTACTTGCCTGTCGTCGCGGTCAGCTAGGATGGCTGTCGGATGGCTTTCGCGCGTGGCACGAAGCCAGGCAAACGGCACTATTAAAATATCAAACACTCTGGCACACCATTTTGACATTGTATCTTGAATTGGATTGATATATGCCGGCTTACGCAAGCCCATGACTACAATGGCTCCCTTGCACGAACCTGATTACTGTACAAAAGAGAAAAGAACATCGAAACTAGGACAACTTCCTTCACGAGCTCGTGGCCTCTTGTTGCGAGCTACCCCCAGCAGACTCAGCGCCGTTTGTTGTCGTCGACGACGCCGCCGCAGAGTCCTTGTTGGCCATGGCCATCTGCCATGCCGGGATCGAGGCCTTTCCACCAGGCTTGCCGCTGAGCGGAGAGGGTCGGTTGAAACTGGGTGTTGCCGTGGTCTTTGTTGTTTCGACAGTGCTCGCCGCGTCCTTGTCCCCGCCCTGGCTTCCGTTGCCGGCAGCCCCAGTGGTGCCAGCAACAGAAGCTACGGGCGCAACACTTCCGCCATTTCGCAATCCATTCGTGCTCGGGGGTGCTGCAGCGGCCGACATTCTCTGGGTGATCAATGTCTTCAGACTGGTGAGTTCTGAATTAACCTCCTTGAGTCTGTTATCGGTAGTATCCTTTTGCGTTTCCATGGCCTTAGGGATCGAAGCCTTGAGAACTTGGACATCATCCTTGATGCGCTGTGCTTCCGACTCCCTTCGCGCGTTTGCAGACCGAAGCTCCTTGACCACAGACTCAAGTTCCGTGAGCGCTGTATCGAGCTTCTCTGTCCGCTCCTTCTCCGCCTCCTTGAGAGCTTCAGTATCTTTGGCCAGCTGCTCAACCAATCCGAACGCTTTGTCGAATTGCTCCTCAATGGACTTCTTGTCTTGCTCGAGCTTCTCGGGTGTTGGGGGAGCGATCATCGGATAAACATATCGCTGGGTTCGTTAGTTGCCACATGTTAGACGCGTCTCTACACAGTTCATACCTTGGCCAGAGCATACGCGCCGTAGCCAACGCCTCCGACGACGGTCGCCATGATAAACCAGTCTCTCCAGTCTCTCTTGGGAGGCGGTGGGGGCGGTTGCCATGCTGCATACTGAGGAGGATATGATTGATAGTACTGTTGCGGTGGTTGCTGCTGGGCGACCGGCATCGGAGTCGGGGCGGCAGTTGGGGCCGGTTGCGCGCCGACTCTGGCAAGAGCGGCATCGATCTCCTCTTGTGTAAGGTTCTTGGTTCGCAGGAAGGCCACGCGATTATCAATGGACGAGCTCGCGACACTTGGGTCCTGGAGAACTACGGGTTTATTAGTCTGATGAGTCGCACTCCATAGGCTCGGTTCGGGTACTGACATTGCGTCTACGTTCAGTTAGCAATCAACAGAGGAAGCAATGGAATCAGGCCCAGCCTACCGCCGACACGACGATATCCTCTCGAATCGCCATGGTTGTTATTGTTGCCTTACCAGCCTCACCGCATCACCCAGTCGAGGAGGTGTCGTGTGATGGTTGCGACAGACACAGATGGCACATGTGTTCCTGAGAAGATGCCGTGGGAAGTCTGTAGCGCAGCTGGCGACAGATACGTAATACGGGGGGCCGGGTTTTGAACCGAGGCTTCGGCGCAGTCCAGCGCGGCTGGAGAACCCGTTAGTCTGGGGTGGCCCCTGCAGGGAAACACCCCGTCAGCCAGATGCAGCCGACATGACTAAGGTAGGCTTATGTATCTAAAGGTGCTAAGGAAACACCCGATAAACGAGGGAAGCCTCACGTGTTGGGCATCATTTAACCCCCCCCCAAAAAAAAAAAAAAAAAAAAAGTGGTGGTCCTGGCGCCTGCCTTATTGTTTGAGAGGTGCCTCTTGCAGCCAATCAGAATCGAGTAGAGCATTTTGTTTACTTCCCCCAGGGCAACAACACCGACCGACGACTTCTGCAACGGCTTTCCCTTCCCACCCTCACACCTCGAAACCACGCGCCGCGAAAGCAAAGCTGTCGCGCAAACTTATTCTCTGCTCGACGACTTCGGCGCAACGCTTGGAGCATCGCAAGTCGTGTCGCAAGTCGGTCGGCGGCCATTCGACCCCTTGATCACAGCCGTTCCGCGCCATCCCACCATGTCGCAAGACACCGGACTGTGGAGTGTGCGCAGACCAAGAGAGGTATGTGTCAGTCACACACTGTAGAGAAGCTTCTCGCAGCGACACTTCTCGTTCATAAGCTGCCCTCTGACATGATGCATAGACCTTAGGAGGCATCAACTACAACTCAGGCTTACCCCAACCCGCATCCGCAATGAAGCGATCGAATTCAGGCGCAGGTGCGCCCTTCTCGAATAGCCATGCTCGCTCCGTGTCGGGCTCCAGACAGTCTTTGGCCCTATCACGACCGAGCCAACCAATGTTCCAGCGCTCCTCTTCTGGAACCAACTTGGCGGAAATGGGCCTTTCTTCTGTCAAGCGAACGTCGATCCGCGACAAGTCTTTCGCGCCGACACCGGCCCCGGGACGCGCCTCCACGGACGCAGACAGGAGGAGCAGTGTATACCGCGCGAGACCTTCAACAAACGGCCCCATGAGCCATCAGTCGTTTTTCCAACAAGCACCCCAGCCCGCCGGCGTACCGCGAGACCCTCGCCCTCTAAAAGACAGGTCGTACCAGGCCAGGATCGGTCAGGAGCTGCTGGACTACCTTGCCCAGAACAATTTCGAGATGCAGATGAAGCACGTGCTATCCCAGAACATTATAAAATCTCCAACACAGAAGGATTTCAACTTCATGTTCCAGTGGCTGTACCGCCGTATCGACCCAAGCCACAAGTTTCAAAAGAACATCGACCAAGAGGTACCGCCCATCCTGAAACAACTGCGGTATCCCTACGAGCGAAGCATCACAAAGAGCCAAATTGCAGCCGTCGGTGGCCAGAATTGGAGCACCTTCCTGGGTCTTTTGCATTGGATGATGCAACTAGCGCAAATGCTCGATGGCTACGCCTGCAATCGGTACGACGACGCCTGCCTAGAGAGCGGTATCGACGTCACTGGAGATCATATTATCTTTGACTTCCTCAGCAAAGCGTACAGGGATTGGCTTTCCATGGACGAGGATGCGGACGACGAGGACGCCAATCGAGTGCTGGCGCCACATGTGGAGCGGATGGCCCAGGCCTTCGAGCAGTCCAATTCCAAGTACACTTCCGAGCTTGAAATGCTTGAGGCAGAGAACAGCCGACTACTGCGAGAAATAGAAGACCTCGAGAAATCAACCCCTGATCCTGCAGTCCTCGATAACCACTTCAGGATCATGGAAGAAGACAAGGTCAAATTCGAGGAGTACAATGCTCTCGCCATGCAAAGGTCAGACAAATACGAAAACCGCATACAGGTCTTGCAGGAGGAGCTGGACAAGCTCATGCAAGAGCTGAAGGAAGTCGAGGGCGAGCGCCGAGGCTTGCAAAAAGCTGTGGACGATCTGGGTATCAGCATGCAGGATATCGACCGCATGACTGCTGAACGAGAGCGTCTGCAGAAGGGCATCGAGTCGGCGGTGCAGAGGCTAGAAGAGGTCAAGAAGAAGGTAGCGGACAAGGAGATGGATGCAAGCAGGAAGCTGGACGAGCTGGAGCGAATGGTTGACAAGTACAACACTCTCGCGTATCAAATTGCCCTCATCCCAGCGACGGCTGTGAACGCCAAGGGTAAGGACTACGAACTGCAAGTCACAGTCAACGACGGGCCAGACTTTAGCTCGTCTCAACTCAAGGGCTCCAGCGGAGCTTCGTCTTCGGATAGGTTGCTCGCCGACCCCGTGACTGGGTACCAGCCTGCGCACATTCTCAACCTTGACCTGCGAGGACAGGTGAAGAACAGCTTCCTCGCGCTGAGGAAAGAGATCTCTGAGCGGAGAAGCATTGCGATGGACATGATGATGAAGGATCATGACCTGCTTGACGGCATCAAGGAGGCCATCGAGGACAAACGAAACGAGGTCGAAGCGCTCGAACATCGAGTGCGTGCTGCCGAGGAAGAGTATGAGAAGACCAAGGAGGTAGGTTCATGTATCACGAAGAAAGCACAGGAATGGCGGCTGACTTTGCATAACAGGTCACAACGGCGCAAAAGATGGCTTCCGACGCCCAAATCGAGAAGATGGAAAAGGAGCTTGCAAAGATGCGGGCTTCGTTATCCGAATCAGTGCAACTCATGGAACAGCGAGAGATGAACACCAGCATCGAGTAAGTGCCGTTAATCAAAGAGATCATTGTGGACACAACTGATAAGGTATTGCAGGTATGAGCAGCTTGTGCTTCGTGCCAACTCCTTGAGAGAGGAGCTTCACACGGAGATTGACCGGATGCTCAACGACGTGATCAAGTTCAAGATACATGTGCAGAAGAACTTGGAAGAGTACGAAGATTTTGTCACCAACGAATTGGAGGATGAATTGGGCAGCGGCAGTGGGGCCAGGGATGATACCCGGAGCATGGATATGTGAGGTGCTTTACAAGTTCTTGGGCGGCTCGGTGGACGTCCTGGAGGAGGACAGTCCCTTGTCAGTTTGCTGAGCGTTCCGGTGCGCGTTTTGTTCCTGTTCTGCTTTGGGTGTTGTTTCTCAGATACCATGATGACGGATAATGACGGTTTGGGAAGACTAGCGCAGTCCCAGATGAATATGATTTTGTATTGGTTGTTCTAACTATGCACACTTTCGCGCGGTGTTATCGCCGGTGAGCGCCCAACCCGATCCGACCCATCCACGGGGGAATCGTTCTCCCGCGTTTCGTGGGCCGCCGCCAACTTGCGCCTCCAACTTGATGCAGAGGGGCAATAACCCCATTCTTAGCGATTTCTCTCCAGCGGCAGGCCGGACTTTTCCAGCACTCCGCTCCGCGTAAGGTAAAATGCAGCACGTAGGCCAAAGGTCAAGTGGTCGGCGCGGGAGTCGGCGAAAGGATAGGGAGCTCCGATGCTGATTCTAGGCTATCAGCGCCGGAGCTATAGCTTTCCTTTGCCGCACTTTATGTCCGATAACTCCACCAAAACAATAGGTGAAGGGTGCAAACGTACAGATTGTACATGGTGACGCGCAGACTAGGTAACCCGGGATGGGCAGGCAAGTAAGCCAGACAATGTAATAGGGCACCGCCATCATGCGACACGGGTGAATTTTAATGCCACAATAGACGCGGCCTGCGCAGCCTGCGTGGTTTCTCGCAATTTGTCGGGACGTAGCTATATACTAATCGCCGTAAACCCGACTGAAGGTTGGTTAGTATGTGAACGGAGTTTACGCTGCTTGAGTGCTCGTTGGCCCATTGCTCTGCCCGGCCCGCCCGGCCACCAATAGCATACTTGCTTCTGGAGACATGATGTTTTCTGCGAGAACACCCACAGCTGCTCTATATATCTCCTTGCTCCCTAGGAATCTTTCCCCAATGCCTTATAAAAGCCATGTCCAGGTTACGACACTTCCTACGCACGTTCTTTCAGCAACCAACAGTTCGCCCCGGTGCTAGAAAAGCGTCAACCACTCCAACCTCCATCCTTGCCATATCAATGGCTTCATACACGACTGCTGTAGCCAAGATCCCCGAGCTGGGCCCCTCACCCGACGATGCTTCTTCCAAGCCGCACCATGTGAAGAAGAACGGCGCAACCGTCGGCTTCAAGAATATTCATCCCTCTTATGGTGACGGCGTCGGTCCTTGGGAGCTCATTAAGCATGTCGTTTGGTACGCCCTGCCACGTTTCCAGCCGCCGTCCCTCAGCAACACTGGCTAACAATACCGTGGTCTAGGCCGAGCTGGACAGGCAAGCTACCGTCTCCTGACACGACGCCTCCAAATGTTTCCGTCATCAAGCCAGACTTCCTACCCAGCCGCACAGCCTCCGCTAAGCTCCGCGCGACATGGCTCGGCCACGCCTGCTACTACGTCGAGTTTCCCTCCGGGCTGCGCGTGCTGTTCGACCCTGTCTTCGAGGACCGCTGCTCGCCCTTCACCTTTTTGGGTCCCAAGCGATATACTCCGAAGCCCTGCGACCTCGCTGATATTCCCTTCGTCGACGCAGTTCTCATCAGCCACAGTCACTACGACCACCTCTCCCACGAGTCCGTCCTCACGATCCAGAAGCACAACCCGAAAGCCCACTTCTTCGTCGGCATGGGTTTGGAATCGTGGTTCAAGAAGGCCGGCCTGAAAAATGTGACGGAGCTGGATTGGTGGGAGGATGCGGAAATCACATTGGCCGTCGAGAAAAGTACCGCTGACGAGCCCGAGACTATCACCGCCAAAGTATCGTGCCTCCCATGTCAGCACACATCCGCCCGCACACCGTTCGACAAGGACGAGACCTTGTGGGCTTCGTGGGGTGTCAAATCAGGCGCGAAGTCCGTATGGTTCGGAGGTGATACTGGGTACCGTGCCGTGCCGTACGTTCCCCCGAGTGTCGACGATTACGGCCCGGAATTCGCCTCTCTGCCGGTTTGCCCGCAATTCAAGCAGATTGGCGAGTTCAGAGGCCCTTTCGATCTCGGTCTGATCCCCATTGGCGCATACTATCCTCGGGTCGCTTTCTCGCCGATGCACGCCAATCCTTTTGACTCGGTCGAGATTTTCAAAGATACTAAGTGTCAGCGCGCCATGGGCATCCATTGGGGGACCTGGGCCCTGACCATGGAGGAAGTCTTGGAGCCGCCCAAGCTTCTTCAGCTGGCCATGAAGCGCAAGGGCCTTCCTGAGAATGGTGTTTTTGACGTTTGCGACATTGGAGAAAGCAAAGAGTTCTAACTCGGTTGGAGGTGGGAGTCGCAGTGTACACCTCATTAGTGCTTTCCTTGCATGGCGAGTTGGCGTTTGGTTCCCAAGTCCCGTCAGGATGATTGGGCTCGTGGTTGCTTTATAAGGAAGAATACCATAGATAGCGTGACAATGGGTGCGAATACGCACTTGGCTAATACTAGACATGATTTTCGTTGCACTGCACCTGTCAGCACCCATAGTACATTTCTCTCCGATGTGGGCACAGGGCTTTGCGCCGTGTAGGCCTGGCTTGTTGCGACTTTTGCGTACTTGTCACTGTCACAACGTTGGGGTCAGTTTCTTGTTCCAGTAGGCACGAGGTCGAGTAACAACTTTCGGACGAGCGTTTTGTATGTACTCGGCGCTCTCACACGTTCATTCAGACGGAAGGCAGGCATCTCGTCTCGAAAATAGAGTGGTATTTCTGCTTGGCCCGATTGTTCGGCAACTTGATATAGCTTACGGGAGTCTTTGACCCCAACGCCTTTTCCAACCGCTGCCACCAATGCTGAGGTGTCATCTAACCCGGACCAGGGCTCCGCGCAACGCCGAACAATGCAAATCAACATAGGAGAATTTTCAACCTGATTGACACAGGGCCTTGTCCTGACTATCCCATCCAAAGTTCACATTACACATGATTGACCCCACACAGACTTCAAATGTGGTCGGCCAAAGGGGGTTTAGAGAAGATAAAGAGATGAAAAGGAAAGGGAACGGGCAATCACAATATTCTACTCGCCAGCGCCGACACATCATCCGACTGCGCGAGTTGATCAAATGCCTTGACGAGCCCCATTGCTGCACCAGCCGCGGCACCGCCCACAACAACCATCTCCAGGCCACCGACCACGGCCTGCCGCACAGCGCGGAAGCCTTGCCAGCCAGAGACGATGCAAGTTTTGACGTAACCAAAGGCGAAGAGAGCGACAGCCATGACGGCGACGGACACGTAGAGGGCGAGATAGACGTCCTCGGAGGGAACGAAGAAGTAGGGGAACAGGGGAACAAGACCGCCCAGAAGGTAGCCGGCAGCAATGGTCAACGCCGAGACGAAGGCGCGGTTCGAGGCCGGTTCTTGTTCGCAATGATGGAACTGCATTAGGAAGTCGATGAGACGGGGCGAAGTCGAGAGATGGTCCGTCACCTCCTCGAGAGTGTGTTTAGGGAGGTCGTAGGGTTCGAGAACTTCCCGGACCTGAGCGCGGGCGAGGTTCGGATCATCTTGCGTCAGGCGGGTACATTCGTTGAGGGTTTCCTTGTAGGAAGCGCTGCGGAAAGACAACGTTAGCATCATGTAGGAAGAGGAATGGACATTGTTTATGGACAACAGGCCGGGGGAGAGCAGGGACTCACGCCTCGCTTTTGGCTCCGAGATAACCACCTAAACCCATGGAGATGGCCCCGGCAATCAGCTCGGCCATACCTCCGAAGATGACAACCTTGGTCTGGCCTAGCGCAGACAGACCAGCTGTAAGGGCAAATGGCACCGTCAAGCCGTCGGACAGACCAATAGTAGCATCGGAGATGACACGAGCATCGATGCGGAAGCGGCGAGAGTCGCTCTCGGAGGCTGTGGAGGTCGTAGATGTGATTGTCGCCATCGTCGCCGTCGATGCTGTCCTGGCACCCAGCAGGGGCTGTCTCTCAAGATCCCCCTCGGTGATGGTATCGTCAGAGCATGTGCTCTCTGCGCGCTCGTTGACCGGTTTGCGGGCGGGAGCCTGTGTGCGCCCGAACAGGAGGTTTTTCAGAGTGACAAGACCCATGATGAAGCTTCGTTCGGCTATCTTTGGCCTGCTCCCAAGAGCGTTCTGAGAAGAGGTCTTGAAGCCAAAGAGTCCAATAACTCTGCTCTCCGTCAGATTCTGAGGGATCGAGGCCTGTCTCTTCCGTCAAGGAGGCAAGATGATGGACGCTTTGAATTTATTGTCCGCCTGGGGTGACACCAAAAGCTGGCGGCGTCGAGGAGAAAGTCTGGGGTAATAAGACAGGCGGAAAAGCTGACTTGTTTGTTTTCTTTTCTATGCCTTGCTTAGATTTTGTCTGGGGTGTGTGGTCGCGAGTGGTGATCTAGGCAAGTGCCAACAATTTGAGACGAGACAGGCTTCTGGTGTCTTTAATAAAAGTCACATTCCTATGCTACAAGCTTTCCACAAGCTTCGCTACCCGGGTGGGATATAAAGAAAAACCAGAAGAACCCGGGCAACGAACTGGTAACTTCCTAGCCCCCTGGCAAGCTAACAGAAGACAAGCTTGGCCCTTTCACTCACAGACGATTTTTTGGTCTCTTGTTCGTCGACAGGCCTCTCAAAGAGACCCTCAGACCCATCGAGGACCTGGGACCTGGGCCTGGTCGTCCCCCATCTGCAGGGCTTGGTGGGCAACGGGTTACCCTTCAGACGAGTAAGCATCATTAAACATCCCCTGATTGGCTTGGCTGGTTCTCTAATCAGAATCCTGAGGATGGTGATTGGCTCGGGAGCGCCCCCCCCCCCCCCCCCCCAGCTTCCTCCCACCCCCATCCTCCGTCACCACAGGCTGCTTTCTCGGGAGCCGACTTGGGGGTCCGCGCTGCGCTTGCGCAGGGCTCGCACGAAGGTTCTGTCAAGTTGCCCCTTTTGGCGTCTGTAGAAGCGTGTTGCCTCCCACTGATTGGCCTGCCCAACCCTCCGACCCTCCGACCCTCCGGGAG